ACCCGGTTGCGCATGGCTCTTCAATCTGTTATTTCTCTTTATTTGGCACCAGTGAAAGTGCCCCAATCATTTACTATTTTGTGAGGTAAACAACACCTACTCTTTTGGATGACATTATAGGTTTCCCTTCCCAAAACGTTGGAAATACCAACTGTCGACACTTAACACTAAATTCTTGTTTGGTGCATCTTCCGTAATTTGCTTTTCTGCTCAATGCCGTTCCTAGCTACGTATTGAGGGTAATTGGTAGATCTTTTAATCATAGCTATAGCTTAAGGATCGTTTTTTACCTTCGTCGGTTCTGGCCGCAAGAAAACTGACACGCCTTCCCTTTTAATCGATTGTTGCTATCAGAGGCTTCCCAGCTTCCTCTAGATCTCGCACAGGATTACAACAGCGGAGATATGACCTATAGTTGACCTTCCCTCAACACATCTTCTTTCTCAACTTTTTTCCACTTCGTAATTTCTTTATTTCCCCCATGTCTTGCGCCAGTAGCATAATAACGTAGAATATGTGCAAAAGAGTACACTATTAATCATTATAATCGTGTTTTGATTCCCTCTATTTGCAGAAGAGTGTCTCAGCTCTTTCTCCCACGTACACGACACTCACCTGTTCTCTCTATTGACCCATTTCCTTCTCAGTCTATAGCGTCCTCGTTCTGCCTTTTTTCCTCTCTCCCTCACTTTCTCAAAATCCACCATAAGTTTAAACACTAGCGAGCCTGACTGTGAAAATCAAGCCTATACCTCAGGCTAATATGTAACCTAACTAGAAGAGTCTTAACGCTCGGTTTAATTGCGACCCGAGCTTAAGAGTGTAGGCCGTGTATGTGTAGAACAGGTCGGGGCTCAACACTGTGTTACATTGGGGGCCCGGTCGAAATATGTTCAGCACTATTCCAAAAGCTCAACACGGCAGGAGGCTTGGTATTATTTGTCCTGATGCCCTCCACTCCCCGTAGGCGGTCTGCTCTGCTTCCCTGCGGGCCGTTTTGTGTGGAGAGCTGGGAGACTAGATGGGCCGAGTGGCAGTGCAGAGGAGGGGGTCACATTCGGGTGTCTGTTTCGGGAGGACAAAACTTGTTTGTTTTTCGTCCGAAGTGCTAAATGTAAAGTTTTATGCTGTGTAGAGGCGATCTAGAGAGGCGGCGGGGTTGGGCGGAAAAGGGGGCGTGCTGCTCGGCATTGTTCTTACTACATGGGTGTGTTGGCTGACCGTGGCGGGAATGGCCAATGTTGTGAAGACTTCTAAGTCTGGCTTAGTTAGCGCTAGGAGTGCAATAGTGCTTTTTAGCGTTTTTGTGTAGGGAAGCCCTCCCCCCCTTCCTTGGCTGTGCCTCTCATCCCTTTTCTTCATCTCCCACTGCTTTCTTTCTCATCAGAGAGGCTGAACCGCTCCTTCCCCTGAGCTACAAGACTCAAACAATTACCCTCCCAACTTTGCTGCATTGCCTCCTCTCTACATATCTCCTCCCTCCCTTTCCTCTCTTCCCCCTCTGTCTTGCATTTGTCACCTCCTCTGCTGCTGTTCTTTATTCATTTATTCTTTTTTTTAAAATCTGCTCCACCAGGGGTTTGGCCTTAGCTTTTTCTTCAAGCTCTGACCTCTGTTTTTTTGATCCTTTCTCCCCATTATTTAAGTTAACCATATATGTCTTCACAGGGTACAGCTTAGGCCCTCCCCTCTGTGCCTCTTTCACTTGTTCTTTGATCCGCGCCTCAGTGTTACCAATCTCCTGTCTTTCTCGCTGTCTGTCCTAATCATAATGTATTTCTTGGACAGAGGTTAACCCCACTGGTGCAACTGTGATGAACCTACCTTAGTGGGGGATGTCTTGGTCATTCCGATTATGTGCCATCCTGATCTATATTGTATGTATGTCAACCCAGTGTCCGAAATTTGTTCTTAACCATAAAACCAAAAATGAAAACAGCTCCCCATATCTCAATGGTTTGTCAGGGGAGATAGTGGTGTGGTGTGTGTGTGTTGGTGTGTGTGATGTAGTGGTGTTGTGTCGTGTGGTGTGTGTGTGTGTGTTAACTTCTCCGTTTGAGTTATGTGGGTGGTGGCTGGTAGATTTTGGTCCCTCCCCTCCTGGAGAATTCAGTCCGACTCTCTAACGCTCCTGCCCTTTTGGAAATCAGTTCCAGGGACGTGCTGGAGACTTTTTTCAGGAATGAGTCACCAGGTTCCCTCTGCTCTCTTTTCTCCTTGCTAGGACGCAACCCAGCTCAAAAAGGCCCAGTTATCTGGAGCATGGAGGCTGTTCCATGTAGGAATGAAGTTTAGTGTGTTTTGGCCTGGTTTGGAGAGGGGCTTGCGTTGGCGTGCCTGTCAACGTTGCCCAGCGCGAGTAAAATGGGCCTCATTCTTTGGATGTCTGCAGCATTTAATATGCCGACTTTGTTATCGTACTTATTTCATGTGCCAGTAGAAGGCGGAATTTGCGCCATTTTTATGTGGTGTGACTGCTTGAAGAGGGATATATGCTACCATAACATAGGTTTAACTGTGTATTTAACACTTTTTTGAATTACACACGGCTGTGGAAAACTGGGAGGAGGAAACCTCACAGACGTGGGGATGTTTCCAGAAGTATTTTAGAAAGAGCTGGGCTGTTGGAGGTGAAACTCAGGACTAGGTTGGATACACAATACACACAAAACACCACTCACAACTGACACAATCTCCCAGGTGCTGGACCTTTGCCAGGAATTGTCAGGGAACTCCAGATGTGCACTCTTGGTATAGGACAAGTGTGTCGTAGTGTATGTGTTTTTGATGGCCTGGATGTTGCACAGCGTTCTGGGGTCTTGCAGTGGGGCCCCACGGCGGTAGGTCAGCTCTTGAGGGAGTACGAGCGTTGTGTGTGTGGTGGGTGTGTGTATATGGTGCTGCTCTTGAAACTGGACGAGTTCCCCACCCCCTGGGCATCACTAATGTCCTCAATCGTGGACTGGAAGGGAGCTCCCTACGTTCCCTCCCGCTTTGTACCGGACCCTTATGCGGCGCCTTCAGTTTTGGGAGTGGCCATGTCACAGTATCACATAGATAGGCCTCTGTTGAAGCACAAGATCAAAAGTGTCGGCTATTGTTTTGGAGCTGATATACCTTAAGATGAGCCAAGGCTTATTCGGTCGATTTTTGGGTGGCACTAGTCGGTGACATGCAGATTGCAACCACCTGACTGAGACCTCCCTCTCTACTAAAGCTCGAGGACTGCGGATGGTTGCGCGGCAAAAACGTGAATGGGCCTTATCGAAGCAGTGCTTTGATTTGTGCTGCTTCATGGCTGCTGAGAAACACCTGGTGGGTTCAACATGGGGGCGGACGCTTCTCGACTCACTCTGTATTTATAAAAAAAGGTTCATTCTGAATATTGTGAATCTGAATATCCTATTCCATTTCTGTCAATAGATCCCTAAATCTTCCACACTGGTCTTTTATATCATATAGAACATTTTCTGTCTAACCCCCTATTCATTTGACACATTTTGCCAGGCAGAGTGTGCTTTAACTTACCCTGACTGTGTGTGAGAAACCTTAACAATGTGGTTAAGTGGTGAGGTAAAAGAACTAAAGGAGGTGTGTGTGTGTGTGTGTGTGTGTGTGTGTGTGTCTCCAACGTAATCGGGTCCAGCTGTGGTCTTGAGTCACTGGTCAGTCGAAGGAGCAACTTGGCTCAGATATCACCTCCTCCTCCACATCTCCATCCATTCTTCATCTAATTACCAACCCTTCCAGCCCCTGCGCTCCTCAGCTCTCCCTCACATCTCTCTGGCTTCCATTGCTCCACAGGCAGCATTAAATCTGTGCAGGATTTCAACCACTTTTATTGTCCTTCATCCCCCTTTTCCGTCTTTCTCGTTCCTTCTCTCCTTTTTAAGATGATGGGTGCTTAACGCTTTTTTTTTTAATGGTCTGGTATTGTTTACCGCCTGGCTTCATAGATTCGGAGCGCGTCTTTTGATGTCTGGGTCAGTGTTTGTGCATGTCCGAGGCAATAATACTCTTAAGGAATAAAAACTTGGTTTTTATCCATCACTCATCCTCAAGATATGAAACTGAATCTGCGTCACAGTCACACACACACATTTGCAATAAACAAATAAAAAATTTATTGCCACAGTGTTGATGACACAGAAGGCAGTTTCACAATGCTTCCAAATTGTTGCTTAAATCTGTTATCTGTTTTTTCTGTCTGTGTCCAAACTTGTTAGGGGCCTTTTTTTTTTCTTCTAAAAGTCTCATATTCTCATTTGGTTGATCTTAGATGACATGAGTGAAACACACGGAGCAAAACCTTTTGGCTCACAATTCAGTTACGGCTCATTAGAGTCGACTCCACTCCTCTCTGCTTGCTGAGGCTTGCTGCTCCGTTCAGTTCAACTTGTAGTCTCCTATTGAAAGCCAAACGGATATTTGATCGTTCACTTGATTATAGTGATTTTCTGCTGAGGGTTCGGCTATGTTTGTTTTTGGCAGTCATGTCCAGTTTGGGTTTAAAAGTGCCAGTTTTAATCCTTTTGTATGCTTTGTATTCAGGTATTGCAGAAAATGATTTGCAGTAGCATAATCCTCGTCAAAGTGGAGCAGGACCACTTATCTGTTTATACTGTAATGAAATGTCTTTCAACACATTCGTAGTAGTCATAACACGAGCAACTCCGGATGAATTGTACTAAATTTGGTGATCTTTTAACTTCAGCAATCATAAGGTTAACATTTTAATTTGTCCAGTACTTTTGGTTTATGGTCAAATACCTGCTAAATTAATCAGTTTCACTTTTGTATAAAAAGTCCCCTTAAAATACAAAGCATTGAGAAAGACAAGTTTCCAGAAGACCACATGAGTTGATGCGTTTAGGCTGATTGTGTGCTATAATCTACCTTATCTTTTAAGAAAGACAAGGCAACACAAATATAAGTATGTGTTCAAATAAAGCCTCATAAATCCGTTGGAATCATGAACACCCCCATTGTTTCCCCTTCAGACGGAGCGTGGGGAATGGCTGCAGTTCCAGGCTGACCTACAAGTGGCGGTGTCAGTGGCAGACCGCCTGAGAGCCGAGGCAGAAGAAGAGCTGACTGCGCTCCGAACAGCGCACAAGGATGTTGAGAGGGAGCTGGCTGCTGCCCAGCAGAGGCAGAAGGAGGCCGATATGCAACTGGTCACCCTAAGAGGGGAGTTAAAGGAGAGCAGGCAGAGACTGGCTACTCTCACCCAGGCTCAAGGCAAAACTGACACCCAGGATCCATGTCAGGAACCAGTGCGGCCCAATGGAGAACCAACCAACAGCTCACAAAGCACAGAAGGGACCCAGAGGGGCAGGGAGAAGGGGGTGTACAAGTTGGGACGAGAAGGGGTGGAAAGCAGGGGTCAGAACGAAGTGACGAAGGATGTTGCAAGCGAGGAGGCTAGAACAGACTGTAAAGGTGTGACTAAGCGTTACCTCAGAAATGTGACCAATGAGGATAGGAGTGGAGAGGAGGGGCGATCCAACGAGACACGAAGGACATTAACCACTGAGAGGTCGAGGTGAGAAACAGTTTGACCTTTCTGGGGAATACACAAAAACAAATAGAATTTCTGCATCACATTTGTACATCATTTTGTGTAGGTGGCACTTTAATCTGTTCACACAGTTAGATATTTCAAAACAAAGCTCCTTTTTGTTGTCTTCTGCATTTTTTGTCTGTGACATTGCAGTCATAAATGGATACCAATCACCAAATTTGGTCAGGACTGTGATTGTGGTTTCTTTTTTTTATGTTGCACTCAACCCACAGGCCTCCACAGGGGCACTTGAGGACAGTTCCAACCGCTTAATTCATAGCTGGAGCCAAGTGGAACAGCTGTTGCAGAAAAAAATCCATCAAAAACAGATTGTTTGGTTTATTTGGTCTGTTCTCTAAACTATGTATTGAAATGTTGCAGAAGCCTGTCCAGATTACCTGCTTCTTCAGACACCCCCACCATGCAGAATGGAACTTCCCAGTCCAGTACTCCATCAACAGCTGGACCCACAAACAAGGTCAGATACTTTATCTAGAGGAAGAGCCCTCATTTTGGTTGTCAGCTAGGAAATGTTCACACACTTAATTCATGGTTTGCTGTTCATGTAATGATTTTAATTTGTAGAAATCTTTTTTGTTTTTAAAGAACTTGGGGCAACTAAGAGGCAGAAGAAGTCTGGATTGGCAAGACAGCAGGTTAAACACTGACACAGGTGTGTGTGTCCAAAATGCTTGTGTACAATGTGCCACAGTATGCTTGAGTTTGTGCTATAGCTGTTTTTCCTTTTTTATCCTAAAATTGGTAGGAGTTTTTGACCACAAATCTTGTTTGTATTGTACATGTGCACAAGGACGCACAATGTTATGGCATTAACATACAAGTGTAGCAATTAGAGCCTGACCGATATAGAATTTTTGCGGCCAATACTGATTACCGATATGTCCACTGATGTGGATATTTTAGCTGAAATAAAAAATCGACCTTTTCTATGTGAATTGTGCACCAATTTAACACCAATATGACTATGCAAAGACAAATACGTTTATTAAAGAATATTTAAGTTAAATGATTTTTGACATGGTAAATACATATACATACAACCAAGTGTAGTTGACATTGCTGAGAGGTGCTTCTTCTCTCTTACTGTGTGCTGCTTACCATAGTTTTGCAAATTGCAGTGCACTCAGCTGGATAACCTTTGCAGTGATGCCAGTATTTTACCACAAGCATTTTCCTGCTTTGTATAAAGGAATCGGCACATATCAGATAACCTATACCAATATGTCTGATATAGGTCAATATTTGCTGATCAGTATATCAGTCGGCCTCTTGTAGCAGTGTGCCATCAAAGGCTGGAGGCTCGTACACAAACCCACCGGTAGTTAATACCTCACTCTGAAGTTCCCTTGAGCTATGCAGAGCATTTTTGTGTCTTTTAGCTCGCTGTTTTGGTTTTACAAACCGTGTCTCTGTGTTTTTGGGATGTGTACATGGGCAGTTGTTTGCTAACTTGCTGCGTGCTACTTTATACAGTGAAAGTCAAGCTTGTTATGTTGCCCCCAACTGACCAAAAATCAATGAATGCCACTTTAAACGTGTAGAAGTTTGTGTATGTTTAAGGGTGGTATTGCTAAATCCTTTCCTTCCAACACTGCCTGGTGCAAGTGTTCATGACGGCAGACTGCTGGGTAATGAACTGTGGTTGCTTGTCTTTACAGGAAAACGTGAGGACTCTCTAAACAAGTACAACTCTTCCCTCACTGAGCTGCCTCCCATCAAGTGAGTCTACACACCCGCACACCCACGCACACACACACATTGAAAAACTATTCTGTCCAAGAGCCCAGTCCATTTGCTACATCCTGTGTAAATCTAATTACCCGTTCCGACCCAAGTACATTTGTCTGGTGACCTCATAAAGCTCCGTATTGGGGCCAGAACACCTCTCTTGCTTGAATCAATGTATTAATTAGGTTTTCTTTTCAATAACAGAGTCAAGTTTATGGCAAGATTCTTTTTTATTTTTTCACAAAAACCCAACTGATTATAACAGCAACCCCTGCAGTGTTGAAACCAAAAAAAATCTGAAGCCCTCAACAGTTTGTATCTTGTTGTTGTCAGGTCCCAGGATGGTTTCAACCTGCTGCTGCGTCGCCACGGAGGATCAAAGAGAAACTCACTGCTTCGCTGGTGTCAGAGCCGAACACAAGGCTACAAGGTGATCCCAGATATTTGCATATCTTTCTTGAAGCTGGAATAAGGGATATTTTATATGATCTTACACTGGTCTTGAAAAGCTAAACCAAAATGTAATGGATGTAACTGAATAACATTCAACAGATAATGTTGTATTGGTGATATTAATTGCTGGCCTAGCGTGGTTCAGTCAGGATGGACTAAGTGAAATAAGGGTTTAAGAGTTATTGAATAATGAATTTAGTTGATATCGTAAAATACACACATCATCTTTTGGTGTTTAGACTCCACTGTAGGGCTGTGTATTTGCAAGGTCTGGCAATTCAATATGTATCACGATACAGGGGTTACTAATCAATATATTGTGATATTGTAAGCAAGGCGATATATTGAGATTTTTTACAGTTGTCACAAATTGATACTATATCACAAATCAAGATATCGCAATACAATATTTAAAAAAATATTTTCTTACACCCGTACTCCACTGTCAGATAATTATGACAGAGGTAGTCACTCCATGCAAGAATGTCCCCCCAGTGGAGTCCTCGCTTTGATGGCGAAGAGGTGAAGAAAAATTTATCCTAGCTGAAGATCTGGATAGATCCATAATAGATCCGTATTATGTCATATGAAACGACAGCTGACAGCAGCAACAAAGGGAACAGAATGATTGGCGAGATGAGTGACTCACGATTGTTGTGGCAAAGATTGATTAAAGTCAATAAGGGGATGGCTTGCAGATTGCAAAAACCTAAAGAAATAGTGAAAGTTTGAGACTATATTTCATGATTACTTGTCCTAAACTTCATTTTGTATTGTGAGGATGATATACACATATGTAAAAGTATGTAGGTCCTGTGATTTATAGCGAATATGCTCTCATGCTAATCTAATTTGAAGAACCACTGGAAAAGTTTCTGGACTTTTCTCCCAACTTGAAAAGGTGTCTTACTGCTTTTGATGTTCGCACTAGGGAGTCGGAATTGTAGCCTCTCTTGAATGTATTGTGGTTCTCCTCCTCCACCTCCTTCAAATAGTTACCCACCAGAGTTTCAGTTGGCTACTGCAGCTTAACCCATTGATTCTCTTGTGTTACCATAATCTTTTGTCTTTTCTCCCCATGCAGAATATTGACATCACAAACTTCAGCAGCAGCTGGGCCGATGGTCTCGCCTTCTGTGCCGTCTACCATACCTACCTCCCTTCACACATCCCTTACAGCACTCTTACTCCAGAGAGCAAGGTAGAAACTGTGCCTGTTTAATGAAATGGACCAAGTGATTTATGGTGTACAACTTATCGACTTGTACTTTTCTTTGCAGAGAGAGAATCTCAACCTGGCATTCAAAACAGGGGAGACTGTTGGGATTGCACAAACTCTGGTAAGCCTCTTTGTCTTTTCTAAATAAAACAAATAATTTTACAGAAAAGCCTAATCTCACTTTTCTAGGTCAGATGCGAGGTTGATTTTGAGCCTATAAACTTATTATGAATCTTCTATCTACAGACGGTAGAGGAGATGCTGAGAGCAGGCGGTCCTGACTGGCAGAGGGTCCTGAGCTACGTGGAGAGCATCTACCGTCACTTTGAGATGTGACTGCTGGAGGTACTGACTTACAATCCCACCACAGTGGATCCTTAAGGACTCTTCAAAGGAAGCAACACAAGTTGGCTCCCTGAATACTATACTATACTTTTGTTGCTTGTCTGGAAACTGGAGAAACTGACGTTCTTCTGTTAGCAAAAAAGACATTCAAAGCTTCAATTTTCAACTTTTTCGACATTAAAATATTTTTTTCTGCTTGTGTTAAGTGTAGCATATCTTAGAAATAACAATGGCAAAAACTTGTTTGGTTGTCTCCATTTATTTTTTATTGTGACTTAACAGATGCTGGCTCAGGCAAGGAAAAATAAAGTGTGTTAATTGTTAGTGCATTGCATATACTTTCAGTATTTATTGAAAAATACGTACTGTTACTTCATACAGTCCACTATGAAGAATGAAGCATGCATTATGATTACATACAAACACATTTTCACAGCCAAGCGTATGTTTATGTAACACTGGACGAAAGTCTTTCCTGTCCTTATTTTATCAATACATTATTAAATAATATATACATTGATACCTGAAACATAAAAAAGTACTTAAGAAATTTGATTTTGCTACTGTGGATCGAAGTTCCATCTGCTTTGTTTTCTGTCACACATTACAGAAAATGTCTTCTGGCCAGGTGGAAGTGACAAGGTGCAAAGTATTGATTGGTTTACTGCCATCGGCTCCACAGTCAGTTTTACATTTTTGTTGTTGTATGCATTCTTATATTTTTAAAACACTTAATCAGCTGACATTTGGCATACATCAGTAGTGTGAAGAATTCAGATGCAGTGAAAGTATACAGCTTATCAGACTGAGTGAAATGTGTAGAGGTGAGAACCTGACCAACTGAGGAGGGGAAAATTAACAAAACCCCACCTTTTAATACAAAAAGTTAAATATAGTAGCTTTCAGAATAAAGACTACTGTTGAGCACCATAGATATTCAGAATATCTGGATCTTTTTTTATAGCATCCCTTTGAGGAACGTGTATGTACAGGTAGAGTTGCTGTAAATGTCTCCACACTGGTACTTCACTGGCCTAAAGTACTGTATTACACAATGTCCATCAAATCTGTAGGCAGTCCTTACACTGCACATTGTTTTATCTGCCAATATATTTTGCCTTTTAACCTTGTCTGTGATGCTCTGCAAAAATTCTCTTTTTCCTGGAACTTGTAGCACTCTGTAAATACGCACTTTTGTCAGCACTTTGTTGATGTAACAATACAATAATGTACAGTACAGACGTTACACAACTGTCTTCAAATGACTGGGCAGACATTCAGTCGTAAGGCTGCAGACCAGTTAGAAGATTTGTCAAGTTCAGATTTCTGTTTTTAAATGTGGCAGTGATCAAAATCTGAAAGTGCCTCCATGTTATCACAAGTGTGCCAGTGCTGTTTAGGTGCTCAGGGATGTGCATCACAGGAGTGACTTAGAGCAAAAGCAAATGCAAGCCTACACGTGCTTTGTGCATCCGGTTGCAACATCATCTCACGTCGTCACACCTGCATCCTCACATATGCACAAATTCCCCCTCATACCACGCCAGTGCTGAGAACCACTGAATAACTGGTCTGTTTTGGTTTTGACAACGGTTTTAAAGCCTTGAGTTTGTCTGCCAAATGTTGGAAAAATAATCCTTTTTTTTTTTGGTGGAAATAGACCATTGTAAAACATGTTTATATGTAACTAGTGTGAAAAGAAAATTATACCAAAGAAATAAAATGTTAATATGAAGCAAAGAATACTGTCTGTATTGTGTAACACAGTGACTGTCAAAGAATAACTCTCAACACTACCATGAAAAGACTGAACACAGAACATCCATTTAAGGGCTTTTAACCAAGATTCCCATCTCTTCCGGCTTTGTAAAGGTTATCATTGGAGGTGAATGAAACTCGTGTTTTAAGTTATGAGTTAGCTTGGACTCTACTACCCCCTGCTGGTAATGGTGAGTTAATACAGGTTTTTATTACTGCTGGATGTGCCTCAATGAAAATTTTAATTACTGCTTAGTGGTTAAAACGTGGTCTTACAATCTCAGCTCATCTGCTCCATGCTGCTATTTTTACTGCAAACTCTGTGTGAACTGTATTTTTGTGTCACACTTGCTTACAGTGCAAAATGCAATAATACAATATATGACATTCCTTTTCCCTCTTGCTCAGTTTAAAACTAAGCAAGAGGAGTAGCAATAGCTGTTCTGGATAAGGGATTGTTTGAACTAAGTAAACTGCATTTTGCTGACTTATCACCATTTTCTCCCAAGACAAAACCCCACTGACACACCACCATTCTTCCTGTGTTGTCACAAGGTAATTAAAATGTCCAGCCTGTTTATCACACAGTATAATATAACATAATATAGATTTGTGTTTCAAGAAGGCAGTATAAAGTATTAAAATGTTTACAAAAACACTGCAGATTCAAATATCAGCTTCTATTTTTTAGACTATTTTAGTTGAGTTGCATCTGACATTAAAGACTTTCTTCTCAGTATGGATGCAGTAATGCCAGAATGTGTCTGTGTGCTTGCTCTTGGACAGGACTGGGAATTGTCAAACCCTGAATAGACAGACGAGACGCATCCCCCTGGGCAAAGGCGTTAAGAGTGTGTGAATCCTCCCTATTTATGTGTATAGATCCTGGTGTGGGAGAAGTGTATGAGCATCAGAGTACGGCCCCCTGGGGCGTTAGTGTGAGGACAGGAGGTGGGGTTTTATAACACATCGGTCCAGGTCACTTGCGCTTCACGAAGCAGTCACTGTCAGTTTGGAGTCAACCAAAAGTTGAACGTGTTTTGAATGTAGGGGACAGAAGCATGGATTGGATCTGGACTTTGCTTGTGTGTTTGGGAGTTGTGTTTCCTGCTGTGCCTGGTTCGGCTCAGGATTCATCCAGGTAAGTGATCTGGTTTGATAATACAAACACGATCCGATCATTTTTGAATACCTGATTCAAGTTTTCTATATTAATACAGTTTTTATCTAATGATCCAACTTGTTTCACCAACCAGTAAAAAAACATTTCTCTTCTTTCTACTAGGACATGGTTTCTGATCTCGGGTCCAGAGGTGTTGCATGCTAGGACACCCACTCCGCTGGCTGTCACTGTCCTTGCTGACTTCCCTGGCAGTGTGATGGCTGAAGTGGCACATGGCAACATCAAAGTAGCCCAAAAAGAGGACTTCCAAGGAGGTGACAATTACATTAAGGTTTAGGGTTGATTTGCGTACTTACTTTTTGACTTTTAGAGAACTAATGTATCATTCTGTTGTTCAAGGCTTGACGACCGTCCTCACACTCCCTCCTGTGAGTATGAATCATTCTCTTCTTTTAATTTTTTTTTTGTTTCTAACAGATGAGAAAATAATACTTGGAAATGACTGAACGACCAAATGGATATGTTTGTTATACAATCTCTCCAGATTCTTGACTCTATACCCCAGGATTCCCTCTTAAATTTAACAGTCTGGGGCTACAAGGGGAATGATCTCATTTTCACTAACACCACCAGCCTCAGATTCAGCCTCAGGAATGTCTTCACCTTCATTCAAACTGACAAATCACGCTACCAACCAGGCAATACCGTCAAAGTCAGAATTGTGTCCGTTCAGTTGGATAACCGTCCATATGAAGGCAGAGTGGATATCTCTCTACAGGTAGGCCTCTGTCCTCTGTGTGAAAGAACAAAGCCAGAGGAGTTGAATAGATTTCTAGCGTGGTATTGTGTGGTGGTGGGAAATTTTACTGACATTCTTTTGTCTCGCACAGGATCCCAGTGGGAACCTTGTTGACAGGTGGGAGTCCACAGGGAATCTGGGGATTGTGTTGCGGGAATTCAGTTTATCGCAGACGCCTCCTCTCGGACAGTGGGCGATTACAACCACAGTGAACGTAGGATTGAAATATATAGAAATGGCTTTACCGTTGCTGTTTAAAAGACTGCTATTTGAATTGAATAAGAAAAGCACCTCATCACCTCATTTTGCCTCCCATTCTCTTCTCTACAGGGTGTGACTGATAAGAGAGCCTTCACTGTGGAGCATTATGGTAAAAGATTAGTTTATTGCAGTAATATTTTTTAACCATGTCAGTGGCTCTAAAGCATGTCACTGTTGGTCGGTTAGTTAGCCAGTTCACCACTTTGGTCAATACTGGTATATCTCAACAGTTATCGACAGACCATCCGTGACATTTTATACAGACATTCATGGTCCCCAGAGGAGGAATCCTACTGACTTTGATGGTCCCCTGACTTTTCCTGTAGTGAAACCATGACATTGACGTTGTTTTTCTCTATATCTCAACAACTACTGGGCAGATTTAAAAAATGGTATTCAGTGTATATATAAATTTATATTTATATATTAATATTGATATATATGATATTCAAGGTCCCTAGAGGATGGATTGCAAGTACCCCCATGTGCCTCAGCTGTACTTTGTGTTTAGTGTTAATTAGCCAATGTTACTTTTTAAACTAACAGCATAACATTGCTATGAAATGTTCTAAATCAACATGTTAGCATTGTCACTGTTAAGTAAACTTACTGTTCACATTTTTTACTGACTGGTGTTGCAGAGCATCACTTTAAAGTACTGCTGAAGACGCCTGCTCAGGTCCTGGTTGGAGATCATATTTCAGGATCAGTGAGAGCGCTGTGAGTTCGTTTAGCTCATGCAAATCAGTAATATCACATTTATGCATTTGTTATGTATAAGTGAGTATGCAGCAGTATTTTTTCTCTCTAGGTATCCCAGTGGACAACCTGTGCAAGGAACACTAGATGTTTCAGTTACATTGGCGTCTGTTATGCACACTGCAGCTTCTTCGCCCATGCAAATACAGACTAAAGAGGTGAGGTTTTATTGTCCTTGTAGCTCATTTATGAAAGAATTGGCACTACAAGTAGGCTCTCTGTGCTTATAGCAAGCATTTACGGTTAAAGTATCTGCATACTCAATGACATTGGCTAACCAATGTGTTTTCAGATCTATGGGTCAACACAGTTTTTCTTCAGCAAAGATCTGCTTGAAGCCCTTCACGCTTTATCAGAAATTAGCAGTGGTGTCCAGCTACATGTTGCTGCCTGTGTTACTGACAACTCCACAGGTGAGATATATATTTTGAAACTATATTAATTTAAGCATAGTACAAATTTTGGTTGCATCCTCACACCGTTCTGCTACATCATTCCTTGTCACCCAAGGACTTAAAGTGAACAAAACAGTCGAGGTCCACCTTATGAAGAACACATTTCAGCTTGCGTTCCATGATTTTCCACCTACACTAAAGCCATCTTTAAACTTCTCTTCAAAAGTGAGTAAATGATTATTCTGTGTATTTGACATGTATCTTAAACCGTATCATGAACTAACTACGTCTCTGTTTCTATTCTTCTACACAGCTAAGGGTCTCTAGATATGACAGAAAGCCACTCAGCTCAGTGGATCTGATGCATTCTGCTGTGATCAAAGTCACTCAGAGAACCTCCACGATGAATGCTAAAACTACAACTCTGACACTGCCAGTGCCTGAGGACGGGAGCATCCACATTAAGTTTGAATTACAGGATCAAGTAGCGATGCTTTTTATTCTGGTGAGTATGTTGATTTACAGTACCTGGAATGTCGGTCCTCCGGGAAAAGCAGTGTTGGGTAGTTTCGATGAATGTAAGATGAGTAGTTTTAGTACAGTAGCGTTACACAGACTCCTAAAACAGATTATAAAACAGATTTCAGTGTGTGAGGTTTACTTTCCTTAATGTCTGAGAAAAAAACATCAGCAAAAAGAACACACAAAGATTGATGATATCTTTTATGTCACCTATGTGATTATTTTAGACGGTTTATATTTTCTATATCTTGTGTTTATATTCAGGCAAGATTCCAATCCACTGAGGAAACTCTGATTGTCTACAGCAATTACTCCTCTCCTACTGGCTCATATATTCAGATCTCCCCAGTGAACACCTTACCTGCACAGGTAACTCTAAACCTATATATTGCAGTACAAGGAATAATACAGCAAACATTCCTAAATTATGTTTTTTATTATGAAACCAAGATGTAATTCACATAATATTTTTCACCTCCAGATTGGATTGCCTCTTCAACTAGACGTGGAGAGCACATTTCAACCAACTAAGCTTCACTTTGTGGTATGTTTGGTCAAATGTATCCAATAATGTTATGCCATCTGCAAATAACATAACCAGGCATTTTCTTTTCTGTCTACATGAAGAACATTGCAGAAAGAGTGCTGTAGAACTTGTAGACACACTATCCTACTGTCTGTGAGAATTGTATAACCTACAATGTCTTCTAATATATGGTAATATTTTCACATGACCAGAAGAAGGGAACAATTAGCATTTGTGCCCACACAACCTCCAACACTGGTGTTGAGTATGGAGTTAATTATTTTTACTTGCTATGAGAGGTATTGCTATAGTAAAATATGCTACACAGTAAGTGTAGAGATCATTATGGGAACTCAAACAAATACTTCCCTTTTTTTGTTGTACTTTCAGGTGAGCTCTGGAGGTCAAGTGGTGGCCGCTGGGACAAAAACTTCCTCCTCTTTTTCTCTGACGCCAACAGTGTCCTGGTCCCCCGAGGCCTGTGTCACTGTATACTGCATCCTCTCTGACGGAGAGGTCACCAGTGACACAGCATACATACCCATCAACCATCACTATGTACTTTAATTTTATGTTTTTTCTGTGTATTCGTATTATTTTAGTAGATGCATGATTCTCCTTTGCATTCTTGTGAAAGCGTGTGCGTTTGATTTCCTCAGGTGTCTTTAAATTGGAGCAGTGTCAAAGCCCAGCCAGGTGAGCACGTATCGCTCACTGTGACTACTGTCGAAGCCAAGTCCCAGGTAGGAATCGTGGTAATGGGGTCACATGGTGATGCTCCCCAGGCTGACCTCAACTTGAAAGTGGAGCCGGTATGACAACCCTTTTGATTTGCCAAAGGTTGAAAAGTTTATATCTTCATACAAAAGGGCAAAATATAATCTCCAAAACTTCTGTGAAGGCATCTGTTTAGATACTGTCAGATTTGTGTCATTTCTCCTTTGTCCATCTCACAGTCTAATTACAAGGAACCATTCTTCCCACTCTCCTTAATATGGTGTAAATTACTCCTAGACCTATTTCCAGTTCAATACTGTATGGGTATTAAGCGTGTGACCATCAAACCGGCTGGTCTGGCTGTAACCTATCCGTCTTCTTTGTAACAAGTTGACTCTGCTGTTTCTAAGAGCTGGTAACTCTAGTGTGTTGGGTGCAGGACCTGAGGGTTATTGATGGGTACATGGTGGAGGAAACAAAGCTTCAGAATGTTAAGATGGCCTTTCCTCATCTCCAAAGCTCTGGCGCCATGTATTGTGTCCGGTAGAATAGATACTTTTTAAAAAGCAAGATCACTTCAGGCATCTAGAGTTTGTTTTACATCTTACATCACCTGCCAAGACTCACACTAATGTTGCATGATCTCATAGTGACCTCTCAGTACAAGTTTTAATGTCAGTTTATAGCTGTATTTTAGTGGCTACTCTAACAGATTTACCATTATATTTTTTTTGTGTGTCTTTCATACCACAGGAATGTAATATTAGGATGCTGACCAATGCCAGACTATATATATATAAGAAACGGCAGCCCGATGGACCCAAAAATGGTATGATAATAAATAACACAGTGAATCAATGTGATCCTTTTTAATATAGCATCTACTTTCTATAGTATTTGGAGTCCCTCTTGTGGTCATTTAGCATATTGGATTGGTCCCACAACATCAATATTACTAGATTTATTCTTCACTTTTCAGATATTTCTAAAATCTGAGCTTCCTCTGAGCTCTTCTCTCTCCTCTTTGTGTTTTTCAGAAGGAGATTCCCTCATGGTAGAGAAGTACTGGAGCTACTGGATGGAAGCCACTGAATCATTGCTGTGGTTAGACAATAGTGTTAGGTGAGTGTTACATATGCTGGCAATGGGTAGGTGATTTAAATGAGTGATCAGTATTGTCAAATATGGTTCATTACATGAACACATTTATGACAGAACCTGCTAAATAAATTCAGTATGATGCTTATTTCTGTCAGTGATAAGTCATGGACCACTGGGAAGATAACAGTGCCAGATGGTGTTACTTCTTTGAGAGCTGTTGCACTGGTGATGTCAGACAACCTGGGTTTGGGCTTCACTCCTCTGCCACAAATGGTAACTAAATACTCACTTTGTTCCTCTATATACCTGTGATGTTCCTATTTTCCTCAAATCAAATTTCCTTTTGCAAAGAGGATGTTGTCCTCATTAGCCTGTACTGAAAAAGAGATTGACGATTGTCAGTCCTTCTCATTGCTGTCACTTACAAATTCTAAAACTTTAAGTCTCGTAAACAAAAAACCACTTTGTGAAGCTTTAAGAATTTTCTATGAAATCCAGCTGGATATTTTGATGGTATTCATCATTTTTCTGGGTAATTATAATGTCAAAACAAGAGCCTACAGCCATGCTAGTGGCTCTGTGAGGCTGCACAACTTCCGCCTGCTAACAATTAATGTTTTTGCCAATCCAGATGTTTCAGTCTGGACCAAAGTGGTGGGCTGACTGACTGACATCGCCATCCCCAGACCCACGCTGCTAGCATGGCTATCTATATAAAGTGGTCTTTATATATCAATGTGAAAATGCTACACAACTTCTCCTTTAATTAAATATAACCTAATCTATAGTAGTATGAACTGTCTGGTTGGGGCTGTAATGCTGCTGGCAGGAGCCCTGTTCCTTAACTTTTAATATTTACTGCCAACAAAAGTTGCTTTTAAATTGGTTTATGTTCTGTCATTCACAGTTGAGCGTGTCCAAAGATTTTTCAATGTCTCTGGATGTGCCATTGCACCTCATCAGAGGAGAGGAGATTGTGCTGGATGTGAACATCATCAACCATTTAGAGCACGAGATAGAGGTATGAAGGACTAAATGTGGGAAACATGCAGACTAAAGTAGGACTGGTAAATTATCTGACCTGTTGCACAAGCTTTTTGTGTTGTAAAAGATTGTGCTCACATATGTTTCTCTCCACAGGTCATTGTGCTGCTAGCACAGAGTGAGGACTTTAAGTTTGTTTTGACAGACAGAGGGGATGTCTCTGTGGTAAATGCCCAAAAACTCACTTTAGGAAGTCATGTGTCTGCTTCGGCGCTGTTTCCTGTGAGGCCTGTGACTCTGGGCGTGATGGAAATATCTGTGGACGCCGTATCTTCAGAGGCCACAGACAGCCTTGTTCGGAGAGTGCTTGTGAAGGTGTGGTATGATGGAAACACTGAATAATATCTATGAATTGAATGGGCGAAGTCTAACTTAATGAGGTTGAAGATAGTGGGTTTGTGGCTCAAATCCTCTTTTTTTTTTTTTTTGGGCTATGCATGTGTCATTAATAAAGTGTATTTAGACCTAAGGATGCAGTATGAAATGCATGGTGCTACGTGGCATATGGTTAATCCTATGATAACAGTGAATTACTTCCATGTTCCTGAAGCCTGAGGGAGTTGAACAGTCCTTCTCACAGACTCTTTTCCTGGAGCTGGCACTAGAGAAACAAAGCAGTTCCAGCTCCGTCTCCTTCTCCTTTCCACCAGATGTGGTACCGGGCAGCCAGAGGGCCCATGTGGCATTGGTTGGTATGTCGATCATTTGTCCTCCCTGTTGTGCCAATGGCAGTTCTATCTGAGTGCTGTTCATGTTTGCTTTTAGTCAATTAGGCATGTGTAATATGTGCCCTCATTTTTCTTTTGTGTTTAGATGATGAGCTTGTGTATATGCGCATCGTATCAGTGCTGTCCTGAAAACATTTAGATACTGAATGTTGAAAAATGGAAGCGATGGACATCAAACATAAACCAGCTGTCAGGCTGTTTGGCTTGGCTCCATTCAGGTCAAGGGGTTGTCGTGGTTAAAAGGCAAACCTCAGTATTTCCTCAGTTGGAGCCAAATTTGTGGTTTCTGTACTTGTACTACATTTTAGGGTTTTCCTGCAAGTATTTATCATTTAGTAATACTACTTCTTCTCAGTACCAGAATGCACAAATTGCATTAATATCATATTCCTTGACAGTAGTGTGTAGTAGTATGGTAAAGGTGGGAAAACTTACTCAGATTCACAGTACAGACACTTTCTGTCCCTGTTAATAAAAGTGTTAAATTCTTCCTCCTTCCCTCCATTGCTTCTCACAGGTGATGTCTTGGGCTTGTCCATCAGCAACTTGGATTTGCTGGTTCAGCAACCGATTGGCTGTGGGGAGCAGAACATGATCCACTTCGCTCCAAGTATTTATGTTCTCCAGTATCTGGATGCATCGGCCCAGGACAACAAGGAGATCAGGAGCAGGGCTCTGGGCTACATGATGGAAGGTAATCAGCCTTTATATGAGTCACGGACATTCAGTAAATGTGCTGTATAGTAATCTATAAGCAAGCATGCTACTTAGATGTACTAGGGCATCTTTTGAGTGATGTGTTCAATTTTCTGCTGCCAGGATATCAGAGACAACTGTCCTACCAACGATATGATGGTTCATTCAGTGCTTTTGGAGCCAGTGACTCCTCAGGTAGCACATGGTAGGTCACCAAGCGAAGCTTTCGGCTTTCTTTTCTGAGAGGACATCATGTTGTGTTAGTTTAGAAGGTACGAAAATGCTTTAATTGCTCTGTCTCTAATGCTCCTTCTCCTTTCTGTGGTCCCAGGTTGACAGCCTTTGTGCTGAGATGCTTCCTCCAGGCTCAGGCCTACATCCCGATAGACCAGAGTGTCCTCACCATGGCCAGTATTTGGCTCCTGAAACAGCAGGGGCCTCAAGGAGAGTTCAGTGAGATGGGCAAGTTGATCCACACGGAGATGCAGGGAGGACTGGATAATGGTCCAGTGGCACTCACTGCCTATGTACTGATAGCACTGCTGCAGGACGAGAGCTATGTGGTGAGTCAGGAGAGAAATAATAGTTTGAGTATGTCATATTAAAGTATATGAGGAAAACAAGTCAGTAATGATCTTCTGTATGGCTCCTTTGTGTGAAGGACATGTACGCAAGTAATGTGTCCCTGGCCCAGAAGTACCTGGAGGACAAAGTGTCCAGTGGAAGGGTCAGTAACTACAGCCTGTGTCTAGTGGCGTATGCCTTAGCTCTGGCCAATAGGCCTGTGGCTGGCATCGCCCTGGATGAGCTCAACAGGAGAGCAGACTACAAAGGTAATTTAGTAAAGGACTCTGTTGTATTATGTTCAGGATCGTGCAAAGGGCACACTATTTTAATATCTTACTATTATAGATCCTATTCGTCATTTTTGTCTAATTGTTGTTTGAGACTGGTGCATTACATTCTATGTAACTGGCAGATGTCATTTTAGCACTGCCCTAATGTGAACTTACCAGAAATGTGGTACCCTGACCCCGTTAAATGATGGGATGACCATTATGTCAAGTTTTAGGTTTTAACTTTGCAATTGCTTTTTGTCAGGTATATTCCACAGCCTTACATCGATGTTTAAAGGGGAACTTCGGCAGATTTTTACCCTAGTCTTGATCACTAGAGGTCACCGAGTACTGTCGATAGGAAAAATAACAA